TAAAATTGCTGGTCACCCCAAGCCAAGTAGGGTTGTGCATAGAGAACAAATTAGCAGGAGTAATGTTTGCAATGTTACTTTTTACATAGACTTTTATCAGGAAGTGCCGACAGCGAGATCTAGACAGGAAATTCCGAAGAAAAGAAAAAAAGAAAAAAAACCACTGGACTTTGTTTTGGTTTGGTTTTCACTTTTTTTTGGAATGACTATGACCTGGATGACTAAGAATCTTCACCATTACTAGAGAGAAAATGCTATAGGGATCCAAATTGAAGGACCAGGAAGGTTGATAAACTGCAGAATATAGTGAGACAATCATTACACCCACTAAATAAGGTAAACACGCACATATGGATTTAGATTTGTTTACCGGTATGTATTATTCAATCAAAAAAGGTTGCTTCAATCACAAAAATTTTAACAAAAAAAATTCACTTCAATTAAAAAAAAAAAACCTTTAATTTTTTTTTTTTTTTTGAAGCAACATTGTTTAAAAAAAAAACTTGCAGTTCCAGATGTTTAGATGGCAATCCCTTTTCTCTTTCTAAATTAAACCTAACTGATTAAACCTAACCTATATGCATCAGTAAAATTAGGCTTGGCTGGAGATGTGACAGTACTCATTATTTACCACCAACAATCCAGGGCAACTATCAAATTCTTTTTAGAACATTTAAAAAAAATTACAACCTAAAATCTTGATGAAGAGGTTTGAGGAAGAGTCTGGTTCAGATCAAAATCTTCCACATAGTATCAGAATGTCCATGGCTTTATTCGGGATTCCAGAACCAGCTGAGCTCACATACAGCAGTAAATATCATAGAGTTTGAGTTTTTCTGCTCATCCGTTAGATCTGTTCATACTCTTTAAAGCTCCTTAGCTAAAATTAGATTTACACTAAATTATTTTGTGACTCAATAAAAATGATAAAAATATTCAAAATAAAAAACTAACCTACTGATATATCAGTAGCATTGTAATGAATTATCAACAACTTGTTTTACATATTTTTTGCTTTGTTATATCCACAGTTTTTTTTTTTACTTTTAAAAAATAATTTATTACAATTGATTGAAATTTTATTACGCCTTGTTTGAAATGAAAATGGCGCCCTCTTGTGTCCAAGTCCTCTTTTTTTCCACAAAAACTTAAGCTTGATGGTTTCATCCAAATATGTTTCAGCAAAAAAAAACATAGAAATTTCCTAGAAATAGAAATTGAATGTGATCTGAACTATTAAGTTAGTAAACATATATATATATATATATATATATATATAGAGAGAGAGAGAGAGAGAGAGAGAAATTGAATGTGATCTGAACTATTAAGTTAGTAAACATATATATATATATATATATATGTTTACTAACTTAATAGTTCAAATCACATTAAATTTCCAAAGCCCTCCTGGGCTCTATTAGCACAGTCTTGTCTATATCTCCTGCTGGACAGCCTTACATCCTGCTAACATCTGCTAGATGTCTTTTCCTCTCACCTCCAGCTCCTTCTGCGTCTCCATCCTCTCTGCTGCACCTGAGATGATGTAATTATCTTTACGCTCATCCACATTGCAGACGTAACAGATGCTCTGCTGATCAGTGCAACAGATATCACAGGCTACACCTTTAGGTCAAGTATAGCTGTGAAAAGCTCCTAACCCAATCTGAGGACAGCTGTGGATCTCCCTTTGTTCTTCTGCATCCCAGTGCTCCTCGGTACACTTCATGCAGTAGGTGGGTCCACAGGGAATAGTCACCAGATCCTTCAGCAGATCCAGACAAATTGAACAGGATTGTTTCTGGTCACTGAACTTAATGGGTTTTTTAAATCTATCTTTTTCCAATATAGTGTCCTTTATCCAAAAATAGTAACTATAAATACTTTACAAACATACATGCTTTAAAAAAGTATTTTGAATTGTATGTCAAAAGTAGTTTACATTAAGACCTATTATACTTGATAATTCTAAGCAAAATTGGAATACAATACTGGGCTCATTTTAAAGAAAATGATTTTATTGACACGCTAAAACAATGGAAGGAATTTCGCAGGCACATAATGGCTATTTATCATGGATTATAATTAAAACATTTATGACAGATTACGGACAACTGCTTTTTTTTCTCCAAACAAACCAGAAACCACAGTCCAATACATTGTTTATGACATGTACACAAGCGGCCGAGCTTTCTTATGCATCATGAAACTAAATGCCGTGCAGAGAGAACATAAGTCCAAGACTCTTAAAGGAGAGTTGGGACAGACTGCTCAGTGGTGCAATTCAAAAATAAAACATACATTATACATTACATGTCAGTGTCAGTTCATTTAATGCACAAAAAGCAATATACTGTTATTCTGGATTTTTACTTTAGCTGACATTTCAACCCTTACAGACATTATTTTCATGGCTAAATTTTACACACATTCTACATGTTGTTTTTAACGAGACTTTGGGCTAGAAGAAAAGTCCAACATTCATCTTACAAGTGGAGTTTCAATTAAATTCATCCATATGAGGAGGTTTCAAGGAGTCATACATTTAGAAAATCATTATTTAAAAGGAGCAGAGAGAGGAAAACATTAACATCAAACAAAGACTTTCTGGGTTTTTATACAGCTTTAGCTATCCCAATTTATCTCTTCAAATGAACCAAATGAACCACAGCTATGATTCCTTTACATCAATGACATCAATAAATATTAATATGAAAAATGTTTAAATATGTTGGGGTTTTTGTGTGCAGTGAGTGGTATGAAGAAGCATTCCACCCTTTCAGCAACAACTGCTGATACACAGGATAAGCAAGGATAACTCACAATAATTCTTTATCTTAGTACATTTTAAGGCTCTTGATTGAGCAAATTTCTTTAAGTCATCAAAAACATGAATGGCCTGTTTGAAGTCGAAACTAAAGTATCTTAGTGAAATGTGGGCTTTAACTAGGCCACTTATCGCCACTTATCAGTTTGAATGTGGTTGTAATCTTTTTCGGAAAAGTCATGCTTCACACTTGACATAAAGATTTATTCAACAATCTTAAATGCTTAAGTCTGATTAAAAAGCTTTAACAAAAAAAACAACTATCTTAATATAGAAAAACTTTTGTGAGATAAGGTGGCAAATCAAACACCCATGAAAAATTTAAACTTACATTTAGTACCAGATTGGGCTGGTTTCTGCTCTATTGGGCTTCTTTTGAACAAGTAAGGCTGAAAAATGAGGATTGTTTCGATTAGGGCTGCTTTTCACAGAATCTGGCACTTGTTTATAATGTAATAATAGTAAAACTCTATCAAAATGATGATCATTGTGTAGCAAAATAATGTATAAAGAAAAAACATTGCAATAACATATTGTAGCCTAGTTTGTTTATTTGGAAATGAGGACATTATCTCAGATTTGACATCATCAGTCAGCGATAGTCACTGGTTAAATAAGCATCACTGTGAAATATTTCTCAGTGACCATTGTAAACACCCTATGTGGGCTTAAGAGTTAAACTTGGCTTCTGGCAAACCTTGTGTGAAATTTATGTTGCAGATTTTCTCTTAATTCTACACTTGTACTATTTCAAGTTGGTTTTGGTGGACTATTTCAGAGTCTGAGAAAAGATTCTTAAAAAGAAATATCTATTGTAATTTATGTAGAGATTTTGGTCCGCAGCACTTAATAGCATTAAGGTTCCTGTAAGTCTCATAGAAATATTTCCATTAGAGATTATACACTTAGGAATAGAAATAACTTTAAACCGCCATATTTACCCTCTGCAAAATGTTAAAAAAAAAAAGTAGCCTAAATATCTGTTAGCTTGCCATGCATTGTTAGTAAATCGAATCTTCATGCTTTTAGTCAAAATGCAGCAAGTCACATAAAATTCATTCAGTTTAAGATGGAAATGTCCCAGATAGGCTACTGTTATTAAAAAAAAAAATAAAAAAAAAATAAGGTATTTTTGTTCACAAAAATATCAGAGGTCCATCTTCTATTGGGTTTACATTTCGATCATGTTAGACCTAAGAATGTGTTTAGTTCACCCAATTTGCTTGGAGATATATTCATTTCCAGTGTTTTCTATGTTAGCCCATATAGGTCACATTATTGGTTTCCTCTTTTGAACCTCTGGAAGTTTAACTACAGTTAAGGTTTAACAATATAAATAAAACCCATTTTCTATATGCTTGAACTGTTTGTGTGTTTTAAATTAATGGTAGTAGGTTTTACATAAAAAAAAAAAATTAAGCTGTCATATGTGGACACACTGTATACACTGTATATATCCCATGCACCTTTTTCTTTTGGTTGGCACCTTCTTCTCTTTTGACTATTTGAGCTGATGTAACAAGTTAATGTCTCCACTGTGAGATCAATCAATCAATCAATGAATCAATCAAGCAATCCACTGTCACTGCTGGTGCTGGTTAATAGCTCTAAAATATAAAAGGTTTTAGGGGAAAAATAAATCTATTTGATGAATTCACTGATGAAAATGTTCAGAAAATCATCATCAGATATTAAAACTGTTAATTACCATTAAAGACTCAAACTTCTGAATTGGAGAGTTTCAGTTCCCTAACTGAAGGTTTTGGTCAGTTTAAAAGATGAAGTAAAGATGTATGAGGATTAAAGATTTAGCTGTAAATTTAGGAAAACTTTAGCCTTTAAATGAGGAGGGGAAAATAATTAGACTTTTCAGCTAACAAGCTCTTAAACAGCTCAATCGCTAAAAGGTTTGAAAGATTCGTTGTAACTTATTATATACCTTTAAAACACAGCTTATGTAATACTTTTTGAGAAGTCATATATATATATATATATATATATATATATATATATATATATATATATATATATATATATATATATATATATATATATATATATATATATATATTTGCAATGTATTTTTGGTACGCAAAATACTGAATCAAAAAATGATGCAAAGAGTCTCCTTTTTACTCTAGTACTAATCATCTCTATCTGTACAACCATAACGTTTGCTGTTCATGTCCATTTATTTAACTCTATATTTAAGATAGTAAAAAGAATCCTCTGTCACTTTAAAAGCTACCCCTGGATTGGCTTTATGGAACTACTGGACTATCTTTATTCCAAGTATAAAATGTACACCGACAGCTCTATTTTCAATAAATGCAACAAATATTGTGTTTTTATGAATATATGGCTTATTTTTGGAATGTTAGTTATTAAAGAAATAGGTGAACAGCTGCAACATAATTCAAGGTTGATAGTCTTACTATTTATAGAAATTTAAACACAAATATGTAAATATCTATGACAATCTTGTAAACGATACCATCTCAAGGAGCAGTGCAGATTGTCTGACAAATCATCGGGATAAAATCCTAAAAAGAATAACTATACCACTCTGGAGGCATAAAATCTGATTAGAAAAAACACTGATCTAACTCCATCCCTGAGATTAGGCAGTGATTTCAGTGTAATTAATCAGCACACTGTTCTAAAGGTGATTCGTTTGCATTAATCAGACCTGGAAGATTTGACCTTGCAGTTCAAAGGGATGTTTGTTCTTGCCAAATGTTCAAGCTATAGTCAGCAGTCATGCAAAGGACAGTCATAAAAGCATGATAGCTCTACCAAAACAACAATGCATTTAACATCTGTGTGCTTTACACACTCAAAAAGATGGAAATGAAATAGTGGCATTGGTCTCTCTGCAGAATAAAAAATCTAATTTCATCTATCATGCTTATGTCACACAGTAAATGTTGGGAATCAGTTGATGTTTGTGGATGGTGGTTTCCGGGGTGATGTGTGAAATAATCTGGCACTCATACGTCTATGTGCAGTGTGTTAGGCTGAGTTTGGTCACGCCTTCCCTGTGCAGCTTATAAAGCAGTTTGAATTCACTAGGCAGCTGATGCGTCTCCTGCCACTTTGTGGTGAACTTGGTCCCTTTCTTGTCGTAGTAATGGTACGGCAACTCCTTGCCTGTGTTGGGGTCCCATCCGAAGGGCCAGAAGCCGTAGAGGTGGATTTCATCGCACATGGCATATGCCAGGGTGTACATGAGGATCCCAGTGCTCAGACGTTTCGGAGAGAGGTTCTTAGTTTTCCAGTACCTGTGAGAGAAATGAGAAGTTCAATAAAAAATATCTTGTTCTGATTCCACTAGATTGTAGATGATTAATTCTAAATAGCTTTTTCAACTGACCACACTGGATCTCTACTTTTTATCTCTGGCATTTTTAATATGATTCTGGCAAAGATCAGAGTACTGACATATAACAAGCAATCATACAAGTTGATTAGTAGGTCAGAAAATTATAAAGTAAGAATTTCTGGATTAAAATACTGTAAAATGTCCTTTTCATTCTTTTATTCACTTAAACCTTAATGTCTTCTCTTCTGTACTTCAATTCTTATTTTTTTAAAGAAGAAAAAACAATAAAATAATTGCACAAAAGCAGCTCTTCAGTCGTTGTCCTAAAAGCTAAATTTCATCGTTCTTCATGTGGCAAAAATGTTTTTAAGATCAATATAGTAACTATTTTCTACATTAAACAACAGCAACATACAGCATAAATCTAAATACAATTGCAAAAATACTTGAAGTCCTGAAACCTTTCACAAGTTGTCACATTACAACATGAAGATGAAGAACGCAAAGCAGAGAATGATTGAAAGGGAAGAAAAAATGGAAATAGCTGTGAAAAATCCACCCTCTGTAGGGGATACATCGTAAGAATAACTGGATTTATGGCAAGAATTCATAACAAAGAGGTGGGCTGTACTCTAACTTTTAAAGCAAAGCAGTTTCACTAGATCTTGTCTGGATTAAAGGGACATACTGTTCTTAGTGAGGCTGAAGTTTGTGAAAAAAAAATGATAGGTTTAATTTTCCCACATAAAATCTTAATCAAAAACATTGATGTCTGTAGTTTTGATTTGATAAACATGTTCATGGTAACTGAATAGTTTAATAGCACAAATTACAAAAGAGCCTTTTTTCCTGTTCTAACAAATGAATAAAGATTTGTGATGTAATCTAAGCCTTTAACACAGTGTAAATATTTACATGGAAATAAACTGGAAAAAGAGATTAAATAAAAGTTTAACCCTGATGAGTGTTTTTTTACATAGGGTTTTATATTTTATGTTCTTACTTGTTGACATCATGCATGATATTTCCTGGCCAGGCTAGTTCAACCTTCAGCTGGCCTTTGTGCTCCACAAAGAAGTCCACCAGGGTCCGGGTTACTGTGGCAGAGGTGTGAAGAAAGAAAGCAGGGATCCAGAGGATGGCTCCCTCCAGCTTCTTCAAGTTCAGGAAGAAATTATTCCTGTCTTGGATGGTCAGCAGGTTGTTGTAGTATCTCTCAAGGATGCTAGGGTTAAATGTAGTCAGGTTGGTCTTTTTTCCCACATCTTTGGAGTAGACATCTGTAGGAGCGAAGTTGCAGCGGAAGACAAAGTCTGCTTGATCGATTTCAGGACCACAGTGGCTTCCAGTCAGAATGCCGCTGTTTCCCACCACAGCACATGTACTGTAGTGTTTGTTAAGGATGGGCGATGTCTCGGGGAGTAAGGACTTGAAGTTGTTACTGATGGAGAAGACATATTTGTGGCTGGAGTAGTCAAAGTGCATCAGCTGGCCGACACGTACGCTGTTCTTAGTGAGGGAGAAGTTTTTAGGAATGTCGATGTAGCTGAAGATTTCTTTCCTGCAAAACAAAGATTGAACCCTTTTAGTATTTCCCCTGTAATGTAATTATCTATGAAGAGCTTTGGCATTTCTTCCAGCAGGAAACCACCCCCATTACATGATAGTGCCAGCACCATGCTTCAAAGTTGGGGTGATAAGCTGAGGCTTGCATCTTTCCCCTAATTATTCCAGATGTAATGGCCAAATCAGAACAAAGAACAGTCTTGGTCCCTTAGTCCATTTGTAAATGTAATTAGTCCTTTTGTAAAAGTAATTTTATTATGTGTATGAAAGTTAGTGAAACTGAAGAAATAAAGTAAAGCGTCCCTCAATACTATGGAATTTAGCATAAAGACCTGAAACAGAAGTTTGGTCTGCTTTACTATAAGTTTAATGGGTTGTTTCATTTTTGAATTTTATGTAAATATCTAGCAATGACTGAAAAGAACCAGTTGTATTAAAATCTTACTTCTGCTGGTAATATGCAGTCTTGTTGAACTTCCAATTGGATGGTTTTCCTTGGAGCTCCTCATTCAAGGCATTTGTTAGTGGGATGAAGGAAGGATCCAAGAAATTCATTGCAAACTGAGACCTAAAAACAACAGAAGAATAAATTCAGTGTTTGCTTTCAAAGGTTCATGTTTTAAACCCAGAGGCTGCTTTGGGGCTGCATGTTGTTTAAGTTAAAATTTTCTCTCCAAATTGCCCATAAGTATGAATGTATGCATTTATACTTAAAAGTAAAATTTTCATTTTCAGATTTGTTTTCAACAACAACAACAAAAAAAAGAAAGAAAAAAAAGATTTTCATATCTCATACTGAACCAAACATGTTTTGTCAGGCAGATCTGCTTGTGATTCCATTGAGTTTCTAGAAGTGTTGAATCAAAGCAAATCAATTAGCCGTGACTTTTCCCTGTTGCTGAACTGGCACTCAATCTGACTTATGAGGAAAGACATTTTCTATGCCTTTGAAGTTAGATTTATATTCAGTATTATATAGTATTTCAATACACTGATATGCAAAGATATAGCAACTGGTTATTGGCCAGTTCTCTATTATGTGTCAATTCAATGGGGGTTTATCCAACCCCCACTTTTGTTTTCAAACTCTCTATTTAGGCAAATGGCTTAAACAACCTGATAAGGCAAAAAGGTTGAAGTAAGTGGAAAAAGGAGAGCCAATGTATTAACGCAACCTTTTAAAGACCACAGGATAACAGGGAACTGGGATATTTACAAGAAACCAGAACTTAATGTTGATTATCGTCTGTTTTTTTGTGGGAAACAGTATGTTGGTATATTCTGCCTCGAGTCAGCGAGCATAAAATCAACAAGCTTACAAATACACAGAAAAATGACTAATCATTAAAAAGGAAAAGTAATCAACTAAAAAGGAAAGCTCCCAGTTTTGTCAAACCAAAACAGCAATAAACAACAGGAAGAATCTATAAACCAATGCATTAAAAACATTACTCTCAAAAGCACCAGAAGGATAGTGTTGCCTCTAAAAAATTATAAAAAAACAGAACACTAAACCAAACATGAAGCAGAAAAATAACTCTTCCTCATCTCCAAGGAAAAACATTAAATTGAAAAAATATGCTTCTTCCAGCCTTTAGATGTTTATTTTCGTATTGCTTAAATCCAATATGTCTATTTAATCCTTTCTGAAAATCTCCATAAAATATTACAATAGGCTCATCAGGAAGATCAGCTCCATTCAGTGCAGGTCGTTCGAAACAGAAAGCGACAGGGAGTCTCCAGAAAAAAAACATTACTGTTAGAAAATGTCTTCCACCACATGCATGAAGCTGCTGAGGGTGCTAAAGTTCCTTCAGTGACAAACAGATGCAGAAAAGAGTGTTTGTTCTGCCCAGCAGCTGTTAGACTATAATAACTGCTCCAAACAAACTCAGCAAGTGTCCAATGTACATCTATGCTGATTTAAGAAAAGTATTTTTCATAAATTGTGTTCTAATGTTTTTCAGATGCATGTCAACATTCCAGTGTTGCACACTTCTTAATATCACTGACAGTTGAACTGTTGAAAATTCAAATCAAGTCACAAATCAGGACTCTGCATCACACTGCAAACACCATACTTGCACTACATGGTAAATCTTCAAAATACAACTCAACTCAGTGTTTATGCTGCATTTTGCACCATATTTATTTGTATATGTTTGCACTGCTCTGAACCTTCCACATCAATGCCTTTTGCACCACATCTCTCCTGCACTGTTTACATTTTGATCATTACTGCACTTTTAAATGGAAATGTTCATTTCACTGCTAAGCTGCTACTAAAATGTTTATTATTGTTAAAACATTCTTTACCTTTCGTGCATCTACATGCTTTCCTGTTTATTTCTATTTGCAGCTGGGGTGCGTGAACTGAGGGATCATTTTACAAAGTATAAATGATGTCTCTATAAATGCTTTTTGTTCCGGGGGAACAACATAGGGATGAACAGGCCTTTTGCACTTTAAAGCTATCCACAAAAAAATGCAGAGTCTAAATTTTGGCCTAAAATGGTGCAGATAACCTGAAAACCTGAACTAGACAGAAAATCGTAACGGTGACGCTCGGCGAGTACGGTTTGAACTTCAGCACTCTGGACAGCTCCCCGTTAAATTAACAGGAAGTTTATGATAAGAAATGGTATATATAAAGTTCCCCATAAATAGGCCACACTCTGTTTACATTCACACCAACCATGGTCCGCATTTCACCAGCTGCTCTTAATCTGCCCTTAAAATAAAAAATAAAAACCTTACTCACCGAAAGCCTGCGTGAAACATAATCCGCGGATATTTGTTGGTGCCGAAGAGGCTGTCTTTCCTCAGAGAAACGTAGCTGATAAGCGACAGGATGAGCACAACGACGCACAGAATAACCAAACCCAGGGCCTTGGCGATGCGGACCATCTTGGGATCCTTGTCATTCCCAGTATGAAGCAGCAGCGTCGGCCTTAAGTTGTCATGGTGGAAGGCGAATCGGAGCGCATCCAGGGGTATGATGGCGCAGAAGATGGAGGCTCGGTGGTCCGCATGGTGAAGATACCGAGGCTGCTCAGGCTGACGGGGATAAAATCATGAGGCTGAGCGGAGATGCGCGTCAACATCCAGCCAGCTCTGTCCTCACAGCTCCGACAGGCTCCCTACCGCCAGCACTACTCCTCCTCCTCCACCCACTCTCACTGATGCAGCTTTCTCTGCAGCACAAAGAGGAGCTTGTCTATCAACAGACTGAGAGGGGCAGAAATAGATAAGGGAAGCTTTTACAGCCTCCAGAGATGGATTATTTATTTATAGATGAGGTATAAATATAAAGTTAAAATCTGGTTGTAAACCTCATATAAACACAGCTTTACTTGCTGCATGATTTGAATTAATACTAAACCTGCATAGAGTCAGGTTATGTATAAACATCCAATTATCTTATTTCCCTGTGATTGAAATCATAAGACTTTATAAGCTCTCCTCAGATCAGATTCCCATGTGTTGAAACATTTTGGGAAAGCCCAGAATATGACATCATGTTTTTGTACGTTTCGTATTGGTTAATTTATGATGATTGAATTAATTAAAACATAATTCGGAATGTTTTTATTAAGGCAACACATAAAACCTGCCATAGATTTGTGTAACACTGAATAAAAGTGGAAAGTGTTTCAGGGTGTGTCTCCCTGATAGCTATCTTGGAATAATTTGTACTCTTCTTCAGGCCTTTCTTCTGCTTTCCTTGGTTTTGACAGTGCTGTTTGTGCGCTAATGACCTCTCGTAAACATCAGAGGCCATCACAGAGCAGCTACATCTATACAAAAAATTAATAGGCAATTAATAGTGGACAAGACGATGCACTGGGTTTTATTCTAGGGTATCAGAATAATGCAGGATTGATAAAAACACTGTTCCTGTTTTTATTTTAAACAAAGTTTAGAACCATGAGAACAAAAGAAAACAGATTTTTTTTTTTTGTCCCATTGGATGTTGTTGTGCTGCTTTGCGTGTTTAGAATAATTACACCAGATTTAGTTTAATTATGAGTGAAGAAAGCTGTAATAACAGCATGTCCTTTAAAAAGTAACCCAGGAGAGACACTGACCCGCAGCATTACAGACCTTCATACTTTCCACAACCTCCTTGACTTGCCTCATCAGTTTGTCACAGCTGGGTGTGTTTAAAATTGTCTGATAATTGCTGTCCCTGTAGACCAGGGGTCACCAACATCTTTTAGGCTGACGGCTACCTTCATGGCTAGTGAGTCATAGGATGGGCTACCAGTACTGACTTATGAACGAGAGGGGGTCAGTATCCACCTACTTCATTGATTAATAAACACATTTTTATTGCTATGGTTAAAAAGAACAGCAACAGAATGAAATACAATTTCAAACTTGGCCCACTGGTGAGTTGTTCTAAGAAAATGTTGAGGGCACCGCATGCAGTCCTGGGGCCCCTTGGTGCCTGTGGACATCATGTTGGTGACCCCTTTTATAGACATTGGGGATAGATAAGTAGATTGTTTTCTTGTTATTTCAATATTGTATTTTTTTATTGACAGAAAGTCATGGATTATGAATTTAATTGTAAGTTAGAAATTCCCCAGATACAAGCTGGTATTATTTGCTGATTGGTTGAAAGTATATATATTAAAGTTTCTGGAAGCTTTTCCCTGTGTCCATCGCTAATCCAACCCATCATCTCAAGATTTTGTAAACAAAAGCAACTGAAGTCATACAAATTGTTAAAAATATATCTGGTTTTATTCATAAGGGTTATTTGTGTCCTTTCTCTGTATTCCACATAAAATATAAATACAGTAACTGATATATGACATCACAAAACAAGCTTTTTATATAGTCTTTTACATGATATTTACATTTTTTTTTTTTTTTTACATTTGGTCTTTGACATGAGCTTATCTTGGTTAACATGAACCACGGTATATTCACATTTGAGTGCATCATGCATTAACAGTTTAGTCCCAATAACATAAAATGACATATTGGAATAATGTTAGCAAACATACATGTGTGTATATACAGAACACTGCACGTTATTACATGGTACGGGTATTAGAAAAACAACTACTGAGGATGTTGGCTGCTGGTTTTCAGACTGAATGTGCAACATAAAGAGGCAGATCAAGTCATTTGTGCTTCAACTTTTCTACTTAAATGTGTCGTAGTTGAAAAAAAACCAACTAGAAAGAAGACTCGAAAAGTTCTATCATCAAGCCGCCTTAATTATTACAATTTTCTAGACTAAATTATTAAGATATGTCACATATTTATCACACACACTCAGCAAGCAGATGTAACACAGGCACTTTTTCATAGACGATCTGACATTTTGCATAAACACACAAAGGACGAATCCCCATCTACCCCTAAATCCCTCTTTTATATCTGTTCAAGCAGAAAAGTAGGATGAAAAAGCCAGTCAAATAACAGGTGTGATCTCCTTCAACCGCTACACTCGCAAACAGAAGTCAATGTTAAAAATATGTTATTGCCATAACAACCATTCAAATATCTAGTTTCGTGTAATCTGGTCTAGTTTGGTTCTACAGTTTTTTGCCTGCTGATGTTGCAACTATAGATAAAGAAAGATCTCTCTATCAACAGTAACAACCCCATAAACACTTACACAGCCATGCTGATTTAGGTTTGCTTTGGCAAAAAAACAAACAAATAAAAAACAATAAAAAAAAAATTATCTATTGAGTAGCTGCAGGCTTAAGTGCATTAAGAGGGAAGGGGCTAGCAGGGGTAACGCTAAGGAATACAGATTCACATTTAAGATTCAAAACATGCACATTAACAGAAAAAGTTGCCATGAAATAGATTGTGACTGAAAGACGCAGTGGATGTCTGCCACTGCTTCTCTTCTTTGGTCAGCCGTCTGCACAGTGGTGGAAGGAGCAGGGGAAGAAGGCTCCCTCGCCGTCGCTTCCTAAAGAGCCGCACGGACTGTCCTCGCCGCTGCTCAGGTCCCCGCAAGAATCCTCGCTGTGAGACACAAAGACAGTATGAAGGCTATACATCCCACACTTTAATTATTAGTTTTTACCCCAGTAAACATTGCTAATTAAAATTAAACAAACAAAAAACGTAGATTTAGAAGTACATAGTTCATTTCTGTGTTCAACTTCACATCACAATCTTAATGATACTGGAATACTGTGGTACTGACTCAAACCAAATCCATACACTGAAGCTAAACAAAGACACAATATCTAATATACATATAAAAAATATGCACTGAATGAAACATTACATCAGAGATTAATTTAAAATGTGGACTACTGACCTCTCACTCTCGTCCCAGCTCATCTCAGGAATCGTCGGCAGGCCTGGGACACTAAAGTGACAGTTCTGCAGACTTTGGGCTGTTCTCCTGGACACGATCCAAAGGAGCTTCTTGTTATCCGGTTTGGTGCATTCACTCGAGTGGTATTCGATCATGCATTTGGTCACGAGTTCCTTCCAGTGGAGCAGCTCACTGTCGCTGATCTGTGAAAAACAGGAAATAGCTGAGAGGTCGCTGGTAGAAACATGCTGTCATCCAGAACTCAAATGGTTCCCTTTTTTCTCACTTTTTTTCAATAGCTGGACGGCAGAGAGCTTAGGCAAACTAGCTTAGTCTAAAAATAATGTTCAAACCTCAGCTTCTTGACCCGATAAGTGAAACTGCAACACGCTCAGTGTGAAGTGGATTTCATAATCAGACTAAATACCTTTAGATGCTTTTGGAATTGCTGGATAATCTTCAACAACGGGACTGACTGAAGGGCTTCAAACTCCTGAGCAATGAGGGACAGCGCCAGCACTGACGGCTGTAAAACAAAGGCAAAAAACAAAATCCTAAGACTCGCAGCAAATGAAGCTATGTTGACAAATTCTCACCTGAGAACAGTCCTTACTTTTGCTTTAGAGAAAACAAGCCGGCATAAGCAGGCTTTTAGCTGCACTTCCAGCCTCCCAATGCTTGGGATCTCCTCCCTTAAAATATAAAGGGAACCCCACTGTGATCTGCTAGTTACAGACCTCATAAAGAAGAAACTGTTTAACCAGCTCCATGGAAACTGGAGCCATCACAGAAAAACAACAAGAGAGAGAAAAGGATGCTTACCTTTCAGCTAACAAGGAGGCGGTGGCCGAGTGGTAGAGGTGCAGGAAGGTCAGGGCCGTCACCGCGTTGGGATCCACGCTGAGTTTCTCCGAAATGATTTTCTCCATACGGCTGAGGTCGGACACGGTGAACCTGCTCTGGCTGATGCGAATGAGTTCGTGAGTGGGTGAGACGTCGCTCTCCTCCTCAACCATTTTGGCAGCTATATGCAGACAGCACACTCCGATGCAGGGCACGTGTTTGGGCTGGACCTGTCCCGAAAACAGACACATGTCCAAATCAGCTTCTCATTATTCAGGAGATTCATCCTGCTGCTCATACCCCCCCCAAAAAAAAGAAAAAAAAAACTTTCTAAAAAGTAACAGCTGTATGGCTTCTTTACAAATACTTCCAACTAATAAGCTATTATTACATGTTAATAAATTGAAACTTCATGTTATTTTGGGGTAAAAGGAAATACAAAGGGGAAGAGATGAATCTGTTTATTGTGGATAAGTACACAAGAGTTTTATCACCTTATTTCAAAATTATTATACGAGGAAAATGTGTGTTGTGCGTGTAGAAATTCCTATCTTTGTAAGGCAGTCTTATTTTTCTTTATTTAACATATTGAAATATTGTTTGGGATTCTACATTTAGTAAAATCTTGCTTTTTCCAATGCAATCGGTTTAATTAGTAAAACCTATTACTGATTAGAAGCATCTAGGAGGTATTAAGAATAAAATTACCAAAACTAAGGCTGTACGTTTCTTTTTCTTTTGTTTATTTCGTACATGATAATTATATTATGCATTGTTCATATTTTGTATGGTTATATTATTTATTAAAAGTTTACATAGATCAGTTCTGGTTTCTATCAGCTATCTCATCTATTTGTTACTTTTATGCTTCGTTTTCTTGCCCTTTATATAGTGAAGACTCAAGAACTAGGGTTGTGACAATTCTAAAATTTCAAACTTGAAATCGATGCTCAGGAAAATATTGATACTCAATGCCATTTTGATACCATGGGGAAAAATTGAAAAATTTGCACTAATCCACATGTACTTTTCAGAGTATCAATATTTTTGACAACTAATAAGGTTAAATTAAACTTTGTCAAGACATTTGGGGTATTTTGCAGTTCTGGTAGGTTGTTTTTTTCCCCCACACCTATTTAAAATTAAAAGCTACCTTAAGTTGGGCATACATTGTGTGATATTTTCAAACTTATGGTGAAGATTCTCAGTCAGGTCATAGTCATAAAAAAAAAACAAAAAAAAAAACAATCCACTGCACTTTGTTTCCAAATTTGACGTTTGGAGATTTTCAATTCAATTTTGAATTGAAAATGTCTTCAAACTTGGAAACGAAGTACTTTGGATTGTTTTTTAACTTTTAGGAATGATATTTTCAATCGTTGCATGCACCTACAGCTAAAACTGTACGACAAAACCACATGCATGTTCTTACACAGTACGTCCAGAAACTCAAAAAGACCACAAAAAAATTTACGCCCAGCTTTACACTGTGCAGTATGTTCCATAATAGGTTCTAATTACAGGTTTTAGCCAAATTTAAAAATTCCTGTTGCTAAGCTGAACTTCAGTATTTATAAAGGGGCTACCAGTGTTTGGAAGGAATTGTTTTAGATGGTATTGTGGAGAGCAGAAATACATCAATCAACCTGCCAGAGATCAAAATTAGACAATGATATCTTTTATAGGCCTAGATTCATAAAGCAGATCAAATCCATTCATCATTGATTAAATTAGTGTTGCGCCGATGCCATTTTTTGGCCCCGATACCGATACCCGATACCTGGCTGTGCAGTATCGGCCGATACCGATACCATAATAATGTAAAATAATTGCCATCATGGCTTTGTCAAGCCGCTGCCTACCTTTGTGAAGCAGGAAAAAATCTAATACAAAGTGAATCCAGTAGAACTTTTTAATAAAAAGTTCTACTGGATAATAAAAATAAAAAGTTTTTATTGCCTACCTGGAATGGGTGACAATAGTTGAATAAACTTATGGCTCTCAAAATGGTATCGGTGCCCTATTTGTTGGTACTCGCCGATACCGATACCACCATTTTAGGGCAGTATCGGAGCCCCGTCCGATACTGGTATCGGTATTGGTGCAACACTAGATTAAATGTATGTTGAATTGATTATTAGAAGTAAAAATAATAATAGTTACAGTTCAAAATTAATGTTAGAACTGTAAATGTACAGTCCTATGTTTAGATTTCTTTTTTTATGTATTTATTACTATTTTCAAGGCTGCACTTTAAAAAAGGAAATTGTCTATAGCTGTTTTAAACAAAATTTCTTTTTGTATACACTCGTGTATACAAAATGACAAAATAAATCTGTCTAAGTCTAAGTAGTAATAATAATAATAATAAGAAAGGGTTAAAACATACATAATAACATATTTAATGATGATAAAGCTTGTCCTTTCTTTTGTTTTCTCAAAACTATTACGATCAAAGATTTTGTCATGTTTTTTAGATGCTTAAGGCTGTAAAAAGGAAAACTAAGTAAGTCATAGTTGTTATAGGTGTTAGACCTAAAAGAAAATCATATATTGGTCAGAAAATATATTTCCTAATAGTGTCTAGTCCTAATGTCAACAACTCCATCTGATCTTTGTTTTAGCATGACAGTAAAGCGCTACATGTCCAAAGGTCTTTGAAAAATTAGATCATCCTGTAGGAGGATCAGAGAGTTTATACCAGTTCATAGTACGATTTGTTTGTGAATAAATTCCCAAAGTTCTTTGAAAATGTGCTTAAAAAAAGATAGATTAATGCAGGATCATCACTCAAGATGAGATGACGTCATTAGACCAGTGCACCAGTTTTAGCTTATCTGTAACACTCTTAACAGATCACATAAAAAGCATTAGGCCGCTAGCAGCTGTGCAATGCTATGTTGATATGAATCTAAATTTGTAAGGATTTATGTCAAAAAAGTAGTTCTGGAGGCAAAAAAGGTCCAACATCCGACTAAAGTATTATTAAAAAAGTAGAAAGTGTATATGATTTTTTCATCCATCCATTTTCTGTCACGCTTTATCAAAGCCGGGGTCGCAAAAAGGCTGTTTAAGGGGCGAGATGTGGGGTACACCCTGGACAGGTCGCCAGTCCATCGCAGGGCAACACAGAGACAAACAGAACAAACAACTATTCACACAAACACTCACATCTAAGGAGAATTTAGAGAAGTCAGTTAACCTAAGAGTCATGATTTTGGACTGTGGAAGGAAGCCGGAGTACCCAGGGAGAACCCACACAGGCTCAGGGAGAACATGCAAACTCCATGCAGAAGGATCCCGAGCCGGGAATTGAACCCGGAACCTTCTCACCACTGAGCAGCCGTATATGATTTTTTTTCTACATGAATTGAAAAAACGACAAGACATAAAACTTGCCTTCATGATGGTGAGAAATCTGTCGAGCAAATTGACAGCCTGCACAAAGGTCTGCGTCCTGTAGCCAAAGAAACTGGTCAGGCTCCACAGCTCCTCCACTTTGCTGTCTCTGCATTTCGCAGACACTCCACTGCGAATCTGGAAAAAAAAAATAAGAACTGTTATCTATTTGGATAAAAACTCCTTGTCTGCACTAACAGAGACAATCCTCAATAAGTGAGTCACCTCTGGAGATGTGGACTCCATCAGGTTCAGGCCCGTTTCCCTGGGCAGGAAACTGTACTCTTTGGCACAGCATGATTTCAGCTCTTTCAAGAGCAAGCTGTCAATGCCCTGAAGATCTCTCATCCTGCACAGCGACATTTAAACATTAAAATCCAATTAAGACTATAAAAATCCAAGCAAACCCCTTGAGCAGGGATTCCTCAAAGGGCGGAGGAGACCAGCGTATTTAAAAGTTGTGTCTTAAACCTACCTACCGTGTGTCAAATGTCAGAACTGGAAGTTCTTCCACCACAAAAACAAAATGTTCTGGTGTTTACGGTGTTATTCACAAAAACAAACGTATTCATATATGTAAATATAAGTTTAAGAGTGGAAAATGATATGCTAACTGCATGACATTTAAAGTAGTTCAACGTCTATGATGAAAGTGGGTCATAAAAAAAATCACAGGGACACAGTGTTCGATAAAAACAAGCTATAGATAAATGTTTTTGTACGCTAACTGACGATAGTCAACGACATCATAAGGTAAATAACACAATAATTCGATTAAAATAAAACTAAAAAGCGCAAATTGAATATATTTAATGTTTTTACGCTTTCGTAACATGGCCGCTAGCCTACATTTATTGATGTGTGTATGTATAAAACATTATCTTACCTTTCCCAAAAAGCGCCGACATGCAGGATTACCGCTCTGCCACCTTCACCTCCTCATGTTTCCATGTTGCTCCCTGCAAGGAGTCCAAAATGTCATAGAATACTCAGGATGCTCGATCCAAGACCAAGAGCTACACCCCTAATAAACAAGTAAGCGCTAATCTGCTGGTAAACTACGTTACCCATCATGCAACACTGGCAAAAAAAACAAAACGTAATGACGTCAAGATTTGACGCGCTGCTTGAAAGTGTCGCTGGCGCTAACAAACTAGCGCTAATGTTCCCTCCTAAGCCAAGAACTTACCTGAATACCTTTTTTTATTTACTCTGTAACCAATGCCGGGGTTAAACGAACACAAACAAAGACAGGTAAGCTGAATTTTATATTATTTTAGTTTGCTTTTATCCAGAGCCCTCCCTTGAGGCTTAGATCCAACAGTCTGACTTTGAATGGTTATTATTATTGTATGTTTTCTGACATCCAGTCAAATCCATTAGTTCATTAAGAGTCTACAATCAGAGGCGTAGCCAGAAAACTTTTATAAGGGTGGCCAGGCAATAGCCAATATATACTGAGGGGTGGCCAAAAGTGGATAGTCACCAGAACCTCAGGGTCAATCTAAACTGTTCCAACAGGAACAAGCACGTCCATATTTCTAAATAAAGAAAAACTATACGGTTGTTTACTGAAGCATTTGCTAACAAATAGATGCATATAAACATCCGTCTAAATTCTTTGAGCTTTGAGTTCTGGAGCGAACATCTTTTCCATCGTCATTACTTACCTATTTTATCAATATATTTCTACATTACATTGATATTTACAAGTACCGTACTAATATCTACATAAATTGATAATTTAATAGGTTTTTATTGAAATTGTAATTTACAGTATCTTTGATTTCACTGAAGACTCTTAGATTACTTGCAGAGACACATAATTTTCTCTTTACGGCATATAACACAAAATCTAGTTCTGAAAGAGCATGAATTCTGTATTTATCATCTTCAATGTTGGTATATTGATGTGCATAGTTAACCACAGTGTTTTTGTTGTCCAGTAATTGTTAATATATATTTAAAATTAAAATGTTTTGAATATTCTACTTGAGAGAAAAAAAATGGTAGGGATGGCCAATGATTGGCTAAGGGTGGCCATGGCCACCCCTGGGCCCCCATCTAGCTCTGCCTCTGTCTACAATTAAACATTAGACGTAAAGAAACATTAACCCCCTGTCCCTCAGTGAGGTCTAGAAGCACAAGATCTATATTCAGCCATTCAGCATAGATCCTGCTACTAGGCTGTACATCTTATTTTGGCATTTGACCAATTAGATGAGCCCTTGAATGATATATTACCTACTGTAAATTAGGTTGGAAAAAAAAGTTAAGTCAAGTTAATAAGCTAATAAGTTAATAAGTTAACAATTATATTTAGTTTTATAAACTAAAAATGTAGGTGCAAGTATCACCATTAATGCCTCTAAGGTTATGTTGTACCAAAAATATGTGTTTCTTTCACTCTCAGAGTGTTTTGCATGAATTTCTTATAGAAGCACTTTTGTTATTTTTCTTAATATATTTGGGCAAGTTGGCATTTCTTGTTATTACATTGACATTCATTTTTGTCATCAAAATATCCAGATTTTTTTGAATGTTACAAAGGTAATAGGGTCTTGTCCTGGATATCCAATATTCCCACTATTGGCTTTTGATTTCCAAAGTATTTTTCCTGAGTGCCCTATAAAGAGTTAATGAGACAAATTATAGAAACAAAGATAATGTTGAACTGATTATAGATTTTCGACAGCTTCTGGTTTAAAACCGCATGCTTTGCTTTGATTTCCTCTATTTTTCATTTAAAAACAATTGAGGTACCAGATTCTTAAACAGCTTGTGGGAGGAAATGTCTGTAAAAAATGCTCCTTGAAGCCGTGAAGCAGTCTTTCACTTAGGGAGCTCTCTAGTTCTGTAATTTTCATCTTTAGTGGATGATCTCTTCAGTACTTGGACATTCTGTTTTATAACCTAACCCTGCTTTGAACGATGACCTGTCTGGTTTGATCATTGGTCATAAAGATGCAGTTTGTTCACTAATGTTCTCTGAGAAACCCCACTGACCAAACAGGATGCTCAAAAGTGATAAGGTTCAAGGGATCCTGAGACTTGCAGTGCATAGCATAAAACCAGATTCTGTTTGTTGTGTAGCAGAGTTGAAAAGAAGAAGTATATGCTTTCATGTATTTATTTATTTTATGCGCTTTTATGTTGATGATCTCTCTGCCTTCTCAAATAAAGGCACACCGTGAACAACAAAGGAAATGTATCACCCATAGAGCCATTATGATCCTGCAGGTTAAACTAAATGAAGATTAGATGCAGAAGGATGTCCCCTCTAACTAAAGGTGAACAAACACAAAATATTCATTACTGTATAGAAGGTGCTGTTATTTACTTTGACCTACAGATCTACTCTCTGTTATTTTTGAAGGACTAGATGGAGAAAAAGCTGCATTCGTTGGAGAAGATTGAGGATGTCAAAAGGTCAGCATACCAGAAAGTACAACAGGCAAGAGACGATGTGTCACCTCTGCACAGAGAAGTGGAATTACCGGAGAATATTAAGGGAAATGTGGAGCAGTTTGAGCATTACTGGAGCTGGAATAAAACTATGAAGCATCAGGAAGCACCAGAGTCTGCAAATCATGTATGTAAAAATGTCAACGAAGACACAGACAAGCAAGGACGGAGTGGAGTAAGAACCTAAACTCAGTTTAGGATTACCTTCAGCATCTATGTGTCTGAAAAAAGAGCCTGATGATGTTTATTTCTTCTCTTCCGCACCAGACAGAACAACAGAGGAATAAGGAGTACGGATTAGAGAAGCAAGAAAGGTAAAAGTATACCATGATTCTAGTAGCTTGTTCCAGCCTTGTGTAGATCCTTATCATTTCCCACGATTGGATTGTTTGGGTTTAAAGAAATTGTGTATGCGTTTTTATTGGTTATTTAATACCTTTGTTGATATCTAATCTGTTGAGTCCCAAATTATCTAATTTTTTGAATATGCATTTCCCTTATTTACTTTCAAAACTTACTAGAAAAATGTGAATCATGAGAAAACCTAAAAAAATTGCGGAATGAAATAGTAATTTCACCTCAGATAGATTTAACGCGTCTTCTTTGGTCTGTATCTGTTAATAAGAATGTGTCGCGACAAAGTAGACAGGAACACAGCTGATAGTCTATTAAATTCAGCCACAAAAAGAAGCTAAATTCTGATGGGTTGTGGTTCTCAAACTTTTTCTGTCATTCCCCACTTTGGACAAGGGGGAATTTTCAAGCCCCGCCTGTCCCCATCGCCCCAACACAATGCTAATGAAATATTCAACAATCTTAAAATGTTCCAATTTTATTGAAGTAACAAGTAGTATCTAAATACAAATCTACATCAAATAACAGCAAGCTCAAAAATAAAGAAAATAAAAATGCAGCTGTGTCAAAATTTGTATCAAGCTCAAAGATAGAAAAAATTAAAGTGCCACTCTGCAATCTGTTAATAAAAGAAAAGAAGTCAAATCCATCTGGCAATACAGGTCTATTTATCCCTGCATTAGTGGCTGCAGTGAGCCTGTTTTGCATTGCAGTTTCTCAAAACGGGGTTGCAGGCTTGATACTGCCACTCTCAAGTCATGCTCAATGTTCTGCTGAGATCTGTATTTTGTTTTCATTGAAGCAGCAGCTGAAAAGCCCATCTCACAGAGATATGATGTGGCAAAGGGAAGAAGAATGCACACAGCTCTCTGCCCGATGAGTGGATACTCGCTCTCCACTCCTAACCAGAAACATGAACATGTGGCTGTGTGAATCAAACGCCGTTATTTATTTAAGATAAAATATTTCAAATTCAGTTATTTATGATCAACCTGCGCCGTCAATCCCGGCGCATGTGCGCTTTATTTGCAGTCTGGACGCAAAAGTTAAACATGCTGTGTCTCTGCTCTGACTGCAGCGCTGATAGGGACTCCTGCAATAGCGGGGGAGAACGGGGTTGGGACGGGGGAGGCGCCCCACGGCAGCACCTGCCGCTGGAGGACAAGAAAAGGAACGATACGTGCTTTCACGTAAGAGTCTCCAAAAGGCGCTAGATTTGTTTTTTTGAAAAAGAGTCGCTGGAGGGGTCTGAAATATAGCGACAAAGTCGCTGAGTTGGCAACACTGGGGCGCGAAAGTTTATTCTGTTACAAATAATATGCCGACGTCACGTCAATCATTATTTTGGCACTTCAGTTCCAGGTGAAATTTTTCTCATATCTAATGTTCTTTTAATTAGACTGCATGTAGGCTAGTAATGATTACTTTGTGGGTTTGATTGGTCTAAAAAGCGGCAACATACAGCTATAAGGACAGTTTGCTCTCACACATTCTACATTTATAGTCACACACACACACACACACACACACCGGAACTTGGCGCGCCCCACCTGTCACGTCTCAATTCCCCACCAGTGGGTCGCGCCACACACTTTGAGAACCGCGGGGTTACAGTAAGGTGGGTTAAAATGCCAGTGAGCACACAGCTTCCCCTACAACATGTATAAGAGAAAATAATAACACTGCTTTATGTTTCTCTGCACATTTTTTTCTCAGGATGGAGGATGTCATTACTAGTCTCGGCCAGGAGATGGCGATGCTGACTGACAAACTGACCTCATCAAAACACAGTGGAGTGAATTTATGCGCCAAGTTGGATCCTCTGAGGTAAATCTCCAAAAGTTGAATGTGTTTGTCTGATGACAAAATTGAAGCACTCTGGTCTTAAAATGGTCTTTCTTTGTAGAAATCTGGCTGAGAGACAAACTTTGCTGGACCAATATAGGATCAGTGAACTGGAGTCAACCATTTCCAGCTATATCAATAAGGTAAACAATCAGGCTGGGATGTTATCAGAGTCGATGATAGAATTAAACAAATTGTTTACCACACAGTCAGCATGTAAACATTAGATTGTTGGATAAATGCTTCCTGTGTCATAATGAGTGTTTGTGACTCCTGTTGATGCTGTTGTAGGTTGAGTATCTGGAGAAGAGAATCCTTGAGATTCAGAATCAACTGTTTTCCACCCAAAAAGACAGAGACCAATCGCTGCAGCGAGCAAAAGAGCTGGAGTCGCAACTTCAACAACTTCAAGTATGACAATAAATCCTGGTTTACTTCAGTCTGTCTTTCTGTGTTTAAAAAAAAATCTTCTTACACTCTGTTGTTTCAGGAGACTCAAGGAAAGCAGTCAGAGTCTTGTAAACATCTGTTTTCCACATGCTATGCTTAAGTTCCAGAGCAGTGTAATGATATAAATATGTCTGTACAGATATAGTGATACTGGAATATTTATATTTGCAAAGTTAATATGTATTCTTCTGTTGAGTTAAACCTATCGGTGCATCCATTTCCGTATCTCTGTGTTTTAATCAGATCTATTTCCTTGGCAACCCTTGATAGAGCTATTCCTACTACTGCTTTTAATATTTGTAGATGTTCAAACTTTGCCAGGAGCTTTCTTAGACAACATTTATTGCCATTTTGTATACACAGAGTGTATATAAAACGAAAATTTGTAAAGCTAAGCTGCATATTCTACCTGTTTAAAAGGGATTTTCCCTTTCCACTGTAACCACATGCATGCTAAGTATGAACAATGGTTAAAAAAGTAATGATTCAGAGCAGTTAGCTGTCCACTGTCCTCACTTGTTCTATGAGGAGGGAGGAATTCCCTCCGTGTTTGTGACTAATAGAGCTTTGAGCAACGTCTTGTCATGACCTATACAGGTTCAAACCAAACAACAATTTCTTATCAGCTGAAAGGGAATCACCAGTCTGCAGTTTTGTAATTTATACAGCTTTTAAAACACTGATAGAAGGATGAATTTAAAAAGCAGATCATTAATTCTGACTCTGTGAAGAATGGCTCCGTTATTTGTGTGAGGAAGAATGGCAGAGCCTCTACAGCTGCAGTTATCTTCCATCATGATGCAAAAATATTTTTCTTTTGTGTCTTTTTAAATGAAAGTGGTTGCAAATGGATGCTTGGTTCAAGCTCTGAAGATTTAGCTCCATCGTCAGAACAGCAGATGTCTGTTGCCATCACAGCAATCAGCTGCTCTATTTTTAATGTCTTAGAGAAAACGTTTTATTTCATCCTTGCTTTGCTGCTTCTCTTTTTTTAGTTTCTTTGCTTTCCCGGTGTCTCTTCACTGTATGTAATTCCATCATTTGGTAACTTTTTTCTTTCCTGGACTCTTTGGTTTTCCATGATGCTCTCTCTGGCTCTGGCTTTCCCTGTTGGAGCGTGGAATGACAGAGACGTCCAATACAGTCATGCTAACAAATACAAACTGCTGATAGTGATGATATTGAACACTGATGATGGAGTTAGAGAAATACCTCACTCAGACACTCTTGGCTGTAAACTTTGTAAGATATGTATAACTTCTTGCAAAAGTATCCATAAATCTTTTCCCAGTTTGTCATGTCACAAAAACAAACCTCACTGTGATTTATTGAGGCGTTTTGCAATATTTCAATAACAAAATAATTTATAATTTTGCTGGATCTTGATGAGTAAGAATGTACAAATTGTTTATTGTATTTGAATTCAGCTGTTTTTTGTACATACCTCAAAATAAAATCTAGTGCAACAAATGACCTTAATGCGCACTAAACAATAGATCTACATTGGTTTATGTTAAAGCAGCGACACAGCAGGCAGCCAAGGGATAAAGTGGAGAGGTTTAGAGTAAGGTAAGGTTTTTTTTAAACAAATTTACAAGCTTTAAGTGCTGTTATATTCTTCATATGAATATGGAGTAGAGCTACAAATCTGCCAAGACAATGTTTTGGTAGATTTGGTTTAGCATGCTGAAGAGATAACACCAGACAAAGTGAGCAGTACTCACAGGTTTAGCAAAGAGGCTCTTAGAAACTCTGGAGGAGCTGCAGAGATCTGTCGCTTAGTTGGCCTTTAGGAAAGAGGGGAAGGAAGGAAACTATCATCTGGGGGAGAGAAAAAAACACGTAATATTGCTGTTTAACTTAACAGAGGCGGTGCTCTGGTTTAGATGAGACCTACATAACTTTTTTGTCCATTTTTTGAAATGTTAAATATGATGAAAATCTAACATTGTCCTGAACACATCAACCCCCATGGTGAAAAGTGGTGCCAGCATCACTTTAGGGGAAAATACTGGAGAATAGATGCTCAAGGCTGCAAAATAAAACAATTTAACACTGAAAACAATGTATTCCTGTTCTTTTTTTTTTGTCTACAACATAAGCTAATAATAAGAGACATGGCTGTCTATCACTGTAACGTTACAAAGGCAAAGGGAAGACCAAGACCTACAAAACCAACTGAAATGTCTAAGAACTTGTTGGCTTTTTTTTGTCTGTTCAGATTTTATTGAATCTCTTGTTTTCTCCTATTTTGATTCAGTGTTTATGTGAGAAGCAGAAGCTGGAGCTCAGTGAAGGTACAGAGGTTCTTAGACGTCAGCTGGGTTTGGCCAGGATGCAGCTTTGCAAGGCGGCAGAGGACAAATCCTGCCTTCAGGCTCTTACAGAGCAAAGTTCAAAAGAGGTAAGGACAATCATGGAGCATCTGCAGGAAAAAGGTGAAGAATTACGCTTAAAGGCAGAAAAATCATCAGCAGGTTCCACAATGCAACAATAATTAGCAGGTCACTTATGGTGATGAATTGATAACCTTCCTGCCCTTGCATAAGCAGCATCTTCTAAGCTCCCGTATGTGCTTAGTGCCAGGATCTACAAACTGAGCAGGAAGCTCTGAGGCTGAAGCTGACTGACAGAGACAATGTGATGGACATTCTGAGGCTGCAGATCGAGAACAGCAGCAAAACGATAACCAACCTACAGCAGGAGAACACCTTCCTCATCAACCAGCATAAACAGGAGCTGCAGCAGCTCAATGTCAGACAAAAACTATTAAAAAAAAACATTATTTATTCTACATGTATTCACAATTTACTGTAAAAAACACCTTTCTCACTCTCTGTTCAGGCTGAATTAGACAGACACACGTCTGACTTGGCGTGTGTGGAGCGTGAGAAGCAGCAGCTGCAGGCCTCTCTGAGTGAGCAGAACCGGCGTATTGAGGAGGAGACGCTGGAGAAACGGCAAGTTCTCACACAGCTGGAGCTGCAGAGCTTCCAGCTGTTCAGTCTCACCGGTAGGTTCTCCTTATATCACCACAGCTCATAGAGTTCACTTAATGCATATGTGGTGTGACCAACAAGGGTACTGTGGAAGAAGTATTTCCTCATATATTTCCTGTCTTTTTTTTTTATCGCACTTATATTTTTGAAACATTTTGACAACAGTTAATGGCGTAAAATACAAAATAAAACTCAAAATGCTTTGATAGGAGATGGTAACCCTCCCTCCACATCCTGTGGACCTGAAAAATCAGGAAATCCCCCAAATAAAACCTGTCAAACAACAGGAAACAGGCCAAGACATTTCTAAAAGTATAACAACGTGAAAAACAGGTGAGGACTAACTGTCCCTGGAGTGGAAGGCATAGTCAATCCCAACGTCATTGAGGAACCCAGAACAACAGAAGTAATATGAGCTTCGCCTGCCTATGTTAATATCAGTTTTCATAAGCCAACAATAAAAAAAAGAAATGAATTTAAAAAAAAGTGCTTAAAGCTACAGTGTGTAATTTTTAGTGACATCTAACGTTCAGACTGCAGACTGCAGCAACATGAACATCCCCCCCCCCACCGCTTCTCCCCCCCAACAGTACGGCGAGCGTTACGGGACAAAATGTCTTCCACGACGTCCGCATCACATGCCTTCTCAAGTGATGAGGTTTGTTTACATAGATAATTTTAATACTGCCATCTATTGTTCAGTACCGTCTCAGTTCATCTCTCTCAACTTGCCGTAGTTACTTTCGAGCGTAATGGGCGATCTCGCAATCACTAGTTTGTTGGCTCTGCGCTGCCGTAGTGCAAAGATGTCTGCCTCCATGGCTGCGAGACCCGCTCCTATGTAATTATAAATAACGAATTCTAAGGCAACGCAAATATTAAGGTTAGGAGGCTGAGCTCGTAGATGATGATAAATAACATAGTTATGTATAATATATTACAGTTCTGACTGTATATCCCTGTAATTATTACACACTGTAGCTTTAAATCACCAAGCGACTTCTGCTGAGTCAAAATGTGCCTAAAAATAAAACGATTTATACACCACATAAAACTGAAATCTAAATGAGGGAATTTTTCTCAAAATAAGTGTAACAATTTAAATTCAAAATTAAAAAAACAATTGCAGTCTTTTATTTCAACTGCATAAGATCTTATCATATTTTAAAATAAAATAAAAATATTTAATTAGCAAATCATCTTATTTACCTACTGAAATTGAGGGTAAATACATTTATTTTAAGAAATGTTTACTCATTTTTAGATCGTTTTTCCAGTGTAATCTTCAATATTATTATTAATAAACCAAAATGACAAAATGTGGTGTTATCATTGCCACTTCTTAAATGTCAGATGTATTCTCTATCTATATATCTTGGCCAGGTCTCCCTTGCAAAAGAGATTTTTAATCTCAATGGGTATTACCTGGTTAAATAAAGGATAAATTTAAAATAATTATAAATTCGACGCATATCTAACAGAGTTGAGTCAATAGATTCTCTCACCTGAGCTATGCATCCCTACAGCTCCTCCAGAGATAACACTGGTTTCTTTGGGTGGACCACTACACCCTGCAAGGTTTACAGTTGTAGAGTTTTTAATCTTGGATAATTTCAAAGGTTGGGATATTGTTTTAAAATCTATTCCATGAGCTGTATAGTGTGTCCTGTGTTCTTCTCAGTCTGTGTCATGTTCATAGGGTTTATTTGTTTTTTGTTGTTTTTTTTACTGCAAAGGTGACCTTGTTATTAAAGGGGATCAAAGTAAAAGGGGACACACAAATGCAAACTTTTTTAGAAGCCGAACTGAAAAGTTACACATCTGCACAACTTTGTGTTTGTTTATCAAATAAAATCCTGTCACTGTGTTGTAAATTTTAACAGGACAAAATGCAATAGGTGTGTCCTGTTTATTGTTTTACTACAATTGTGTCTTGAAATTATAATTCCTTTTTGTTGCAGCCCTGTGGTACCTTTTGTTACCTCTGACCTGTAGCCTGCAGCACTCAGATCCTATATTATCTGTGCCTTATAGTTCACACAGCTTTTCCTAGAAAGAGATCAGATCTTATGTCCGATCAAATCATCTTTTTGTCCAGCTGCGTTAACCAAACAAAGAGCTTTCTCTGCTATGTTTACAATGTCAACCAAGCCTTGTATTGTTTCATTTCTTTGACTATATGAGCTCGCCCCTTCTTTGGATGTGTTACATGTTTTTGTGGGCACGATTTCAGAAGAGCACAAGGAGCTGCAGCGGCTCCACAGCTGCAGAGCAGACGAGCACGAGGGTGTGGTGCTGAAGCTTCAGAGTCAGCTAAGAAGCGCCCAGGATGAACTCGAAAAGGTCAGACGCAGCCTGAGGACCCTCCGAGCCGCCGATGAACACGGTTTGTCTCATCATTTCTCGACTGATTAATCAAATGATGGAGTGCAAAGATAACAGTAAATTCTGTTTGTTTTTAATAAAATGTGGAATTCTGATCACTGTCTTATTTATGCGGCTAAATGAAATTGGCTTAGGCCTCCAGGCGGCCTTGGACATGCAGAAGGAGATCACCACCAAAAGAGGGGAGATTGACTCCCTGCAGAGCAGAATCCAACAATTGGAGGAGCAGGTGGAGAAACTTCAACAGGTTAAAGCACCTCTTCCCTGGAAACCTCCACCTTTTCCTGTTAGACCTGGTATCCGTTACTAACTGCACATACATTAGTATTTGAAATAAGAAGAACAGCGTCAAAAATAAATAGCACATTTATATTCTCTCATACATTCATGTTTCTTTTTTAATATTTTATTGATAGAACCAGGAGTTTGATTCTTAATTTTGATTTTCCATCCGTCCAAATTATTTCCGTACCATCTGAGGTATTTAAAGTTAACCTCTACGTATGTAGGAACCTTGTTGTAGGCAACGCCTTTATTTGCTAACTGCCTCTTATTTTAATTTTTTCAGGAAAAGCGCCGCCAGAACCTGGAGACTCATCGTCAGCTTCAGGAACTCGCCTTCGTGAGGGAGGAAAAGAGACACATTTCCAGTGAACTGAAGGCCCTTCGCTCCAAAGACCATCAGTTAATGGAGCGTATCACTGAGCTGGAGGCAATCCTTCACAAGGTAAAAACCTTTACCGTTACCGCACACAAGGTCATAAATGTGCCGCTAAAACTAAGCGTGTTTTAATCAGATGTGCTTCCTCACAAATAACAAACTTTCACACTGAAACGATTTTTTGTGTCCTTTTCTGCCTCAATATCTTATGTTTTCTTAAAGATGTGGAAAAGCTTGGCCAACTGTCAGGACATCCTCCAGCTGAAGGAGCAGGAGTATTTTCGCCTGAAACTCCAACATACTCTTAACCTGAAGGTGAATCTTCACAGGTTTCACTAATGTGTGTCTTTAGCCATTACACATTCACATTAAAGCAAATGATAGTCATCACTTAACTTAATATGGTAGTTTTTGACTTTTGGAGAACCAAAGATCAAATCAAGATCGTTTAAGAAGTCATAAGTGGGTATGCTACATATGCAGTCCTTCCAAAATTGTCTTTGAATTCGTGCTTGATCAGTTTTAGGAGAAAAAAATGTAAACAGAATTCATTCTTACCCTTTTCATACCCTTTTTTTCCTTTCATGACAATTTGAATTGTGCTTCTTGGTCTCTTACACAAAAGGTTAAAAGTTATGCTAGCAGCACTTCCTGACTGCCTGTACGTGAGCCACAGATTGTTGGAATGACCCTTTAGTTTGAATAAAAATAAAAGTAATAGCAAGGCAGGCTAATGTTAGCCCCTGTCTGCAAATGACGTAGGTTAAGAAAGAGGACCAAAATGGTGCTCAGTGGGTCCTTTACATGGTTTGAACTAACTGCCCATACAAAAAAATCCTGTCACTTTCACTCTCCGAATTGTTTGGCAGGTTTAAAGTGAGGCCCAACACACAGGTGTTAACATGACAAAAATAGATGGGATATCAGAGCTATAGTACGGCCCATGTTTGATTCTTTGACTGCAACAGAACTCTGAGCTAGTATCTTAATGAAAGGTTTTGTCTAAACCATCCATCACCATAGCATGCTTATCTTATCCTTTAAAGTTGAAGACGTCTCAGGAATTCTTGATTAACAGCTGTTTTTTCCTGTAGGAACTCCCGTGCCAGAATCTGTGCGCAGCACCGTCTGTATCTCCACCTGACCTGAACTCCACGGCCCCATCCACACCGGCCTCCCCACCCTCCTCCCAGCACCCCTACACCTCCCAGATGAAGGTTCGGGTCAGAACCTTCCCCACATCTTGCCTTTTGCTCGTCTCAGTAGATCCAGCCCATCTAGAGCACATGTGAATCATTTTCATTTGGCAGCATAGGCCTTAAGCTAAGCACGTCTGCTTCATCTTAAAATCAGAAACACATCGTATGACATTCCTGCTTCAACTGGTCATTTTAAAACAGCTGTAAAAAAAAAAAAATATATATATATATATATATATATATATATATATATATATATATATATATTAAAAATATATAATATACATATTATATATATTATATATATAATATATAAAATATATATATATATATATATATATATATATATATATATATATATATATATATATATTATATATATATATATATATATTATATATATATATATATATTATATATATATATATATATATATATATATATATATATATATTATATATATATATATATATATATATATTATATATATATATATATATATATATATATATATATATATATATAAGAGTGCACCAGGCCATATTCCTAATGTTTCAGGATTATCATAACCCTTCATTTACTTCCTGTCTTTCTGTGGGTGTTGAATGCAGGACGGCTCTGCCTGCGAGCTCAGATCTATCATCCAAGAGATGCAAGCAGCGATTTCAGACAACCACAGACCACACACGTCTAAGAACGCTGTCAGCAGCAGCTTCCACAGGAGGAGGTCTGCCCCGGAGAGGCAGCACACCGCCACTTTGTACGTCTAACTCTGCTCTCACACACCGCGAGGATTAGCTTCTGATGTATAGCAGCATAGGTCACATTTAAAAACCATGTGATGCTGCTGATTGTGTAAGAAGTCAGAGGAATGCTGGAGGAGGTGGTGTGGATCCATATGATCAGTTTACTGACCGCACTGTTATGCACAGCCTCTGGTCTCACATGCTGCTGATAATCTAATGGTTTATAATTCTAAAGAATTCTATTTTATTATAGGTCAGGTTTTCTACTTTTACAGAAAGTAAAGGCTCAAATCTAGGTTTTATTGATGAATAAACACTCCAATGGTGCACAGGAAGTCAATTTAAGAGCCTTACATAATAAACGTTCTAATAAATTGCTCAATTTTTATTAGAAATGCAGAATAGATCGGCTTTAACATCAGTATCAGCCAGTGTTGGACCTTTTCAAACACACCAGTTTCTGTCTGATAGTGAAACTGCGTCGTTGCTAGTGTTACTTTATTTCCATCCAGTTTCTATTTTTATTTCTTAAAGGCGAGGGGAGCTGATTGGTCATGTTGTGTTTGTTTGGTCATGTGACAGTGATGTACCAAAGGATTGTGGGTGTTTATAACACCTTTTTCATGGTATCAAAAGGGTAGATATGTAAATAAGATACAATAGCCGTAAATATTGCTTATGGTCCATAACAGTAAGTATTATTACTGGATATTGATCAGGCCAAATGTTCATATGGCTGCATTCCTAACATTTTATTCACCTTTTACACACGTGGACAAAATTGTTAGTACCCCTAATTTAATATAAAAAAAACCTTAAAGCTACAGTGTGTAATAATTACAGGGATATACAGTCAGAAATGTAATATATTATACATAACTATGTTATTTATCATCATCTACGAGCTCAGCCTCTTAACCTTAATATTTGCGTTGCCTTAGAATTTGTTATTTATAATTACATAGGAGCGGGTCTCGCAGCCATGGAGGCAGACATCTTTGCGCTACGGCAGCGCAGAGCCAACAAACTAGCGATTGCGAGATCGCCCATTACGCTCGAAAGTAACTACGGCAAGTCAAGAGAGATGAACTGAGACGGTACTGAACAATAGATGGCAGTATTAAAATTATCTATGTAAACAAACCTCATCACTTGAGAAGGTAGGTGATGCGGACGTCGTGGAAGACATTTTGTCCCGTAACGCTCGCCGTACTGTTGGGGGGGAGAAGCGGTGGGGGGGAGATGTTCATGTTGCTGCGGTCTGCAGTCTGGACGTTAGATGTCGCTGAAAATTACACACTGTAGCTTTAATGCTCAAAGAAATAACTTGCATCTGACAAAAAATATCCATGAAAAAGAACAAATGGAAGTCATGATGATCAGTGCAGGATTTGAAAAACAAAAAAATTAACTCATGAAGCAGGTCTGGACAAAAATGACGGTACTCCCAGAAAAGACTGAATATATACTGTTACCAAAGGGACATGTTAAGTAAAGGTGTTTCCATTAACTAGCATTACAGTGGGAGTTTAAGATCCATGGGACTGTAGCCAAGCTCCGTGGACGTGGCTGCAGTAGGAAAACTGATGAGAAATTAAATATGAATTATAAGAAAAGAGCCCAGAAAAACTTCTAGAGATAAAGGTGAACTTCAAGCTCAAGGAACATCAGGTTCAGATCAGACCAGCTCTCAAATCATTAGAAAGTGTTATGTTCTAGGGCTGCTTTGCTTCTTCTGGCATATGGAGCCTGAGTCTCTGCAGGGTTTAATTAAATCTAAAAATCCCTTTATTGTCCCACAATGGGGAAATTCACTCTCTGCATTTTGACCCATCCCCTTGGGGAGCCATGCGTTGCCATTGTGTGGCGCCCAGGAGCAATCAGGGGTTAGGGTTTTGCTCAGGAACCTAGAGTGCAGGCTGTGGGGATCAAACCGGACACTTGCCACCTTCTCACAGCACAATCACTCCTATTGAGGGATTCTAGAGAGAAATGTGCTGCCCATTGTCATAGAGCTTGGTCTCAATCGCAGGTCCTGGGTCTTCAACACGATAAAGACCCAAAGCACACAGTTAGAAACATACAAGAATGGCAATGTCAATTTCTATTTGTTGATTTTCATAGAATTCTTATTTATTACTTTTGTCGGGATTCAAGTCATTTCTGTGACCATTGTAGGGGTTTGTTTTTTTCATTAAACGATGGGTGCCAGCATATGACTGAACCAACCTAAAGCTGTGGTCACGCTCCTGTCTACATGTTCAATCATTGAGGAAACCTGTTAATCCACGCCGGTATTAACCAAAAGAGCTTCCTCAGATCCCTGACTTCGATTAATCACTTTTGAAAAACGGATAATGTCTCTAGAAATTTATGACATCATAGAAACTTCACTGTTACTGTAAGGTGAAACAAGACCACCAAAAAAAAAAAAAAAAAAAGAATATGAACTATTTAAGTTGGTTCTATTGCTTAACTTTACTGGGGAACCTATTCATGGTCTGCTGGATATTAACCATTTATTTTTGTTCCACCTGAAGCAGTGCTGAGAACGAGGAGGGTCTAAAAGCCTACTCCAGGCTGAGGAGAAAGACATTTGGCAGGTAGGCAGGCCATCCCAACCTCCACCTGAGTCGTCTTTGTACAAATGTAGTGTTTTATGAAATACTCTCAGCATTCCCAGTCCTGATGTTTACCACTGTGCACAGTGAGCCGTGTTTTCTGAAGACAGCTGAGCTGATTGAGCCAACAGTCAATAACAGAGATGGTGAGCATCACATCTGTTTTCAGGCAGATTAAGGTATAATTGTTTTTAACAAGACCACATGCAGTGCTATATTATTGGCAGACTGGCTTCAGATACTTTACATAACTTCCCTGTATTCAGAGGTTAGCTTTTCATCCTCCTTTATGGTATTAACAAGGGTGGTGCGCCCAGAGAAAGGGGGTTTTCATAATCACTGGATTTCTGTAGCGTTAAAGTCTGGGGGCTGAGAAAGTTGTGGAGCAAGGTTGGGTTTATGTCAGAGGAATAATTTCTAATGTAGTATATTTAGATTTTAAATATCATACAGAGCCAGTGTTACCAGTTTCAGATTCATTGGGAGTCCACCAGATTAAATGTAAATTGGAAAACGTAAAAATAAGCTACATTTATCTAAGGGTTTCCAGGGGTGTTGGTTCCTGTAAATGTTTAATGTGTGTGTTACCTACTTTTTTTAATTTAAGTTTTAATTTACCCAAATTAAAACTGAGACCATCCTAATGCAACTTCTTTTATGAGGGCTGCTTGGGATTAGCAGGAAAGACAAATGCAGAAGTTTCAGGACATTATTCAAATCCGTAATCCCAGTTCTGCTTTCCTAGGCCCTTTTACCTCCAGCCCAGTGAGTCCAGCAAAGCACAGCCAGTTCCCACAGATACTCCCACTGGGGCGCAGGTCACCTGTCTACACTCTCCTGACTTCTAACCCTAACAGATAGCTCAAAGAACCGCCAAGAATGTGAGGCCAACCTCTTGTTTCAGTAAGTTGATTAAGTTTTAGATGGGAAATATACAAAGCTGTAGCAGTTTTAGTTTCTGCTTGACTTTAACTTACGGTAATCAGTCTTTAAGTAACATTACACAATCCATGGAGTCTAACCTCTCCCATATGAAGAATGTTGCCTGTGTGGAAATTTTAATTAAAAACAGCAGAATTTTGTTTTTATAGATCCAATCATTTATGTGCTTTTTTTTTCCCATATACTGAACTTGGATTGACTCTCTAAACTCTGAGAAGCCGCGTAACATTCACCCAAAAGTCCAATATTTATATCTGATCAGAAGCTGATTAGAACCAGAAAGAAAAGTGTAAGAAATTTATTTTAATCCTTTTGTTTTACAGGATACTTGCCTTTTGAAGACCTACCAAAAGAAGTTTCACCATTTGAAAGCCCTCCTCAAAAAATATTTTAATCATGTTTTTTAAATTTTTTTTATTTATCCAATAAACTGTGTAAAGTACTTTGGTGTTTTGTTTCTTTATGTACTAGCAAGTGGAAAATTCTTGGTCAATCACATGTTTGGTGAAAACCAAACAGCATATCAGAAGATTCTCGTCAAGCAAACTGGAGCACAATGGAGAAGGGTTGATGATTTGGGTATTATGCTAATCCCAACCACAGCATTGACTTAAAAGGAAAAATTATGTGCTCCATTGACCTAGCTTAGGTTTAGACTTCCGTCTGGTTATAATTCTTAGGAGTAAGTTGTGGATAAACAAATTCCTCCAAGGGTTAAAGTTTTAAAGATTGCTGGTCTGTGGTATAAGTGTAGCAATCATTTAACTTATCTGATGATGATCAGAGAGCCTGATGGCGTCAGTGTACTGCAGCCTCGCTTCCGTCAGTGAGCCCCAGGGCAGCTGTGGCTATAACATAGCTTGCCACCGTCATTTTGTGTGTGAATGGGTGAATGTAGTGTAAAGTGCTTTGGTCAAGTCCTCTGACTTGAAAAAGGGCTATATAAGTGCAGGCCATTTATCATTCATGTCGTTGTTTATGCAGATTATATCCAGTTCTATATTCCTTATTTTCCTTATTAAGCTTCAAAGCTGCACATCTTAATAAAAAACTGGATTCTATTAAAGGCTTGATGACTGAAAATTTTAAATTTCCATTCATCATTTAAATTAGAAAGAAATCAGACTTGTATTTGCACCCAAAAATATAACTGTAGGGATGAAGCAGGCTATTTGGATGCTTTGTTCCATTGCTATATTTAAGATGACTTTTGACTCGGGCTTTACGCCTTCAATGTCAACATTACCATCATAAATTTTTGCTATTTCCATGTGTTTCTGACAAATCGGCTTCTCTTCCTGCTCTTCATTAGAGATTATTTTAAGACATTAAGCAAAGTGGAAGTCCTTGTCATTTTTATCTCTATGCTTTTACGTCCAACTTGCTTCCTTTGCTACTCAGTTGAGTTCCTGCTGCACAGATTGCCGTTTCTTTTTTAAATGCAAACCTTTATTTTACAGTTGCATTTGAATTATTAGACAAAGTAGGGCTAAGTAAATTACATCCATGTCATTTTGTTGGCTGAGACAAGATGATGGTAAACATGCAAATGTGGAAATTTGAATCTAGAAACAGATAAAAAGAAAAACAAACTGACCAGAGTGGAAATGTCAGAAGATCTAAGTCCTATGGTTGTTATCTGTGTTTGTTCTGGTGCCACAGAAACTTTCATCTTATCTAATCTTGTCTCACTGGACGGATTACTTCCTAAACAATCTTGCTGTTGTTTTGTGTCCTCATTTGAACGGACTCTTTATTTTCTTTTTTTTTTTCTTTTTTTTGTAAAACGGGGGCTTTAATTTGAAGAAAGGGTAAATATCATTATGAAAAAACACTTTTGGATCATCTAGAATGTTAAAATCCCAATAAAAGCCATTTAAATGTGTTGTAACAAACATAAAATCTTAAGATTTGGAAAAAGTACTTAAATTTTGTTGGAACATGTTCTTGAATGATGTCGCTTCCCTCTTCATCCTCACTTGATTCTCTGCAGCTTTCTTCATCCTCCTCTGCTTGACTTACTGTAGGCGCAGGAAGGGATGAATCGTGTTTGCTCATCCTTGGAACCAGAACAGACAGAGCGCCATTTATTAGCTAAAGAAGAACGATTCTGAGATGTAAATATGTCTGTGGAGTGTAAACTTGTCTTTTCTGTGCTATTCCTGCGATAATCTTTGGTCTCATTCTGGCACGGAAAAGCTTAGATCTGGTCCTTGGTGTGTCTGTTCTTGTTTGTCTTCCCTTTTAAAGATCCCTTCCCTCTTGATTTACTTTTTTTATCTGCTTTAAGACACTTTTGATATACACAATATATATGCCCTGCAACCTGTCCAGGGTGTAACCCACCTCTCGCCATAGACTGCCAGAGAAGCGGGAGAAGATGGATGGATGGAAAACCTCTGTAAATCACTTGTGGAAGATTTATCTGTGTTTCAGCTTAACTTATGAGCAGTGAAAATTAAGAACTAAATCCACAAAACAAAAGTTCTTTGGGACTGGGAACTTTGAAGAACTTTGTCTGTAGTTTCTTATGAATCTGAAGTTGTTCTCTCCTTAACACTTTTTCTAAATAATGCTGCTTTTCTTTCCTTTTACTTTACTTTACTTTACTATTACTTTCTTATTCTTTTCTGATAACATTAGCTACTCGGCATTAACAGAAACAGCATGATGCTCTGCAATAAAGCATCCATCTATCTTCTCCCATCAGGGTTAGAGTGGGGTGTGTGCCTTTCTCCAGCAGTCTAAGGGCAAAGGGCGCTGTACACCCTGGACAGGTCTCCAGTCTATTGCAGGCCAGAAAAATACAATCATGCACATTTACACATTTTATAGATACCAACCCATCCATCCATTATCTGACATGCTTGTCGCAATTGGGGTCGCGAGGGGTGCTGGTGCCTATCTCCAGCTGTCTACGGGCGAGAGGCGGGATACACCCTGGACAGGTCGTCAGTTAGATACAATTTAACATTCATATTTTTAGAGGAAGCCAGAGTACCCCCACAGATGCATGGTGAGAACATGCAAACTCCATGTAGAAAGACCTTTGACCAGAAATCAGACCCAGGACCTTATTTTCGCAAAGCAACAGTGCTACTGCACCACTGTGCAGCCCGCATTAAATATTTTATAAAATAATGTGTATTTGATTTAATGGCTAATAGGATACACAAAATATCTGCTTTTAACAGATTCATTTTAATTTGGCCACATACACCGTGCTTGCGAAGAATAACCAGTTCTGGCTCTTCTTACTGGGAATAAATAAAATATTTTTCATTTGAGACCCAAATTGTTTGCTGACTGAAATCTTTATTTTTATATTAAGTAAATCTGAAAAATCGCTTTTAAGTTTTAGTTCTACAATGACTGCTCTTTTTTGCTTTATTACTATTTTACATACTCAACTTGTTTCTGAAAAGGTTAACAATATTTTTGTGGTGTTGTTGAAGTTTTATTTATTTTTTCCCATGTGACAAAGTTTTGGCGCCAGTGATCTACAGCATTGGACCCTAATTATCTCCGCTCTTGTAAAGTATTTGAACTATATCGCTCACATCTGTTGGTGTTAAATCTTCTGAGCAAACAGGTCAGCTTGCTCACCCACTGACATGAGCTGTCATACTGTGGGCTATAAATAAAGCAGCTCATTTTAAATCGAAGTGTGTCTGCTCGCTGCAGTCATGCAATGCAAAATGTTCGTCCCATGTGCTCCAGCCTCACCCTCTTCTGCTTTCAGAGCACTTCTCAGCTTATCTTACATCCAATGCAATATTTCTTCAGACAGTCCCTTCATGTGACCAACCAAACATGGTGCATCTAAGAGGCACTCCAATGGAGAACATTGTGGATCATCTGAGGAAAATTGTAGCGCACAGTTTATGTCAGCGTTGTTTTCTAGAGGGACATCTCCATGAGTATATATGGAAAAAGTCCAGATTTTACAAGCAGTCAACATTATCTGCTTTACATTATTTGAAAATAATTTTCAAATCGTGCCTAGGTGAGGTGAAGCTGTTGTAGGAGTAACATTCATTAGTTAGTTGATGGATGATTAAAAACAGTTGTTAAAAGAAAACCCTTGATGGTGCATGTTGCAGTCAGGGTGTATGAAAAATAGTTATTAGGTTTATTATGTTTCAGTAAAAATTCAGGTTTGCTTTGGGTAACTTTCTTTCTCTTTGCATTTACTTCAGCCATCTTAAAGTAAAATAAAAATTCAGACAAAATATTTTATGTCAAGAAAACAACGAAAACTGGAAACCTGCTTTTTATAGCATTATGCATTAATATGTTACCTTGACAACAATATGGCAGAATTAAAAGAGGCTAAAGGCATGTGTTTTTCCCGCAGTAGATAAGCTGCTTCTTGTTCAATTGTGACACCTTAAAGGTATAATGGAGGATTTATGCAAATTTTTTGAAAAGACCTGCCCTATCCGCTTAAAAAAAAAAAAAAAGCACATGCACAACCTTGTACCTGCTCCCGAGAGGGAACACCTATTAAATGCGAATGAGCCCATTTCTTCTCAAGGAGGTGTGGGTAAAAGATGGTCGCTCATATTTATAAGTAACAAGTTTCCCTGCAAATAAGACTATTGGTACATAAAAATTTTATGTGGTTGTGCTGCAGAGAAAATGTGGACATGTTTGTGGTGTTAATAATCATCTGTGGCCACCGTATAACTACTAAGAATGCAAATTATGAGATAAATTTATGTTCTCTGGAAAGTGACAATATAGAGGTAGATACATTTTATTAGCAGTGATGTGAAATGGATTTCTCCAAATAGCACGACCTGTGCGTTCAGTGTACGCCATCGTGTGCAAGAATCTCCCTAAAACACTCTGGTCTTATTTCTCTCTTCTGAGGCTTTCTCTTCTTCTCATACACTTTGTAGACCCTTTTTCTCTTA